CAAAAACATAGAACAAACAAATTTGCATGTGCAAATAACGGTTGATAACAGCTTGCCTGAGGGGATTCCTATACTGTGCTCCTATGGTGTCTGCCGTAGTATACAGGTGCTGTAACCACAGAACACGCTGATGTTTTGTGCCCTCTATTTAAATCTATATTTGCGCACATAGCCTAATCGCACAAGTATTTATCGCATAAGCTCTACGATATATGCAGATTACCGATTAATAAATTCTACTTTCGTTAAAAAGGAACACACGAATGGATATCCATAGATCTAGTATTTCCTTTCAAACAATTCGTGATCTTATTATCGTTAACATTATTTGGCCCAATACCGTAACAAAATAGAGAACAGTCGGTGAACTTAGTTAAAAATCAAAATAAATTCACGGAGCGTTGTAGAAAGATTCGAAGTATTGGTGGTCGAAATGTAGAACGTAAAGATTTTCTTCTCATTTCCGAATCATCCGTTTTACAATTAGTTTCGTATTATTGTAAATTTTGCATTGCATAAGTCGATGTTGCCTACGCAGAACAATATTTACAATAGTCGGTTATGGCTTAGGACAGTAACGTTGGAAATCTCATTTTAATAATCTTGTACCTTTGGATTTGTTGTTATTGTATAATAAAATCACTACGTTCTACATTACTTGAATTTACGCCACATTTAATTACCCGAGCTTGAGAGCCTGGCCGCCAGCGCGGAGGCCCTCTTCACCCAAGAGAGTGACTTGTTCTTCCTCACGGCTGGGGTCTGCCATCTGCGACACGACACCTCCATGCTCAGCCTGGCAACAGACACATGTCACCTCTCTTTTGCCCTATCTCCCGATTTATCTAATTTTATTTTAACAAATTTCTCACACTCACCAATCTGAGTACAGATGGTCGTTAGAAAATTTGGTAAAGGGATAGAAATCGGATATATGGATTTTTACAGGACTTTGCAACAGCTATAAATTTATGATAAAAATTAAACATAATCCTTTCTACTCCATCTAATACTTTTACCTTACTCTAACATACCAAACGATGCTTGGTAAAAAATCAAAATTCTTCTTCAAACATTTACAAAGTAACAACTATAAGTTACAACTAAGATTGCCAATTCGATTTTTCTGTGGGAGATTAGGTTCTTAAACATATCTGTAAATTGTTTAAAATATTTCATACAAAGTGTATATCGTAACACACGATGTACTGTTTCGTATGCGATAATATTGTAGTATCAGCGCTTCCCATGCCTAAGAAGACGGACTCGAACGAGAACATGAATCCCCGTGCCTTCTTTTTCTCTTTGTCTCTTCTATTATCGCAAGTGTCTCGAGAATCACGAGTACGACGTACACTTTGTACATTTATACATATACATTAATAAAAACATGGGACGTTCTCCACTGGATTAATTCTACATGTCACAATGACGAAAAGTATTCGTATACACATACGCCCGATAACCTTTTGTTAGTTGTAAGCAATTTTGGAAATACAAACATATAAGTGTCTAGAGAACGCGACTTACGTCGCCCTTGCTCGTTGCCAAGAAATCCTGCTTCGATATATTATTTCTGTTCGAATTAATTCCAATTTAAGTATATACACAAACACTCTTTGCGTGTATAATAGAAACCAGAAAAAAAAGGGCAAACACAGAAAAGGTACAGGCAAATTACACGATCCGGAGTAGGGTTTGCAAAATCGGAGCAAACGCACATGTTTCAACACCATGCGGAAATTAGAACGTTCATTCTCTGAAAGAACTGTTCTCTAGTGCACCTGCAGATGTGTCCACAGTCCGGCGTCCATTTTTTAGGAAATCTGATGGAGCTAACCAGATGTCGACGACCTTCCGCTGACTGACCATGAAAATTGTACAAGGTTGGTTAACTGATTTAAAAATGTTTAATAGTGCATTTATAGGCGGGGCTCTGAGGATATCGAGTCAATTTATGCATACAAATCTTTTTCATTATTAGAACGTGTAGAATCGCTGAAATTACCCCTCGTAAATCTGACAACCCTAGTTATAATTAGTTTATACTACAATAAATGAGAAATGTTTCTGTTCGATTAAAAACAGTTATTTATGATACGATTAATAAATTGAAGTATAAAAAATATGTACCTATATATATATATATGCACGATGCTTACAACATGGCATTCATAAAATTATTATTAAATTTAGATGAGAAACATGCTTCATGCAAAAATTTATGTACTAAATATATTTTGTATTACGCTCTTTGAGCAACAGACTTTGAAAATGTAAGTAGTGTTGTATTATCGATCCTACGTACTCTAGCTAATTACATGCATGCTATTCGTTTAATATTTAACGTTTCAAGCTTAAATAAACGATATCCTATTCGTATCGAAAATGTATAATATGCTGCCTTTATGCAACTACTTCCTAATTCAAACATAAAAAATAATATGCAAAAGTTCTATTTTACAAATGAAAAGATTTTATTAAGTAAATAGTACTTACTAATTTGTTATACCGTCAATTATCAAGTGAGAACATACGCCTCGATCAAACGACATTTTTTTTATACAAATCAACATTTATTATACACATGCATATTTTTATGTAATTTGTATGTACATAATAAAAAGTAGCTACTATAATTCATAAAACAATTTATACACACAGGGTGCCCCATTTTAATAGGATCAAATAACGATTCGAAATTATTACCGACGGTAAAAAGTGTTGTCCAATTTTTGTTAACGCCATGTAAATATTAATCCTCTTATATCTCTAACTCCCCCTTTCGTTCAATTTTCAAATGTATTAGAATTGCCTCGCTATGAAGACATGGCAACGAACGTGTTAGCGAAATTTTGTATAACATTTCGTCTTCGAAAGTCGCGATGAATATTTTTCTTTTTTTTTTTTTTTATATATAAAATCCACGACTAAGGCGAGAAAGAAAAAATTCGGATAATAAGGGTAAAGAAAGGAATATCAAGGTTTTATTCTCTATACTTAAGAGACTAAAAAAAAAAGGAGAGGATAGGGGTAACTATGATTACAAAATAGTATAAATTTAATACACAGAGTATTAAATGTCTACATACATAATAAATGTAACAGTGCATACGTATTAAAGTGATTTAATAATTTCAAAAAAAAAAAAAAAAAAAAAAAAAAAAACAATCACTAAAGGGACTACTTAACAATATCACATGTGGTCACAAAAATGTTTTTAAACAAGAAACACTTTAAATTTCGTAAATTAATATAAAGCTTAATTACTTTTATGCATAAATGCAAAATATTTTCGATGCATTATCGTTAATGAATAACAAACAGTTAAATAGTACTCACGAATTAAATGTAATGCAATTTCTAAGTACATGTGATATAGAAACAAAGGGAATGTAAGGGACATAGGGAGATAGGGCTTAAATAGTGACTTGTGTCTTTTGCAATTCTGCAACTTAGTTAGTTGGCAACACTAACACATTAATAGTCCTAAAATCACTCAACAGTATTATTAGTAACACAAACAAACACAATCTAATGTCAATGGTTCTCCGACTCTGTATTATTAGCAATATTAATATTTTCTTTGTAACTATCAGTTTTTTATCTTATAAAATAAATTTGCTCCGCTTATACAAAATTGCAAAGCAATCGCAGAAAAGGCATCGATATTAGACACATAATGCACAATTTCTATTGACATGCATCTTAATCACTTGTATAGCTCACAAAGCTATATATCCACAGATAATAAATCATATAATTATACAAGGTCTATATTATTCATTATTGCCAACAACTTTGTATAAAAAAAACTTTTTGGATAACCTGCACATCATGTCAAGACTCTATGGTATATTAAAACTTTCTTATACGATATATTGTTAGAAGTACCATATTATACCACAGTCATTATAAGATTATAACTTATATTGTAAGGTCAGTATTTTGTTTATATTATATTGTACAGTTAAATTCTTACCTCGTCGAAGAAAACTTGGGTCTTCCTAAGTATATGCTTCAATTCTGTTAACTCCAAAAAATTACGTTTCAGAGCTTCCGCGTTTTGATTGACTTCTCGTAGTTCATTCTCCAATTTTTCAAACGTCGCTTCCAGATCTATCATTTCTCGAGGTTGAGGAGCTTCTGGATTTTCTCCAGTATCGAGCATAGGGATACCATCCTTTTTTATTTCTTTTTCCAAGTACCTCAATTTACGTTCCATCTCGTCACAACGACGCACCTCGTTAACAAACTTTCGTTGAAAGGCATTAACATCGGGATTGAGCTAAATATAAAAGAAACAAATGAGAATTATATTACGAGGATTATATAAATACTTTTAAAGTACTTTGTAGTTTTTTTTCTTTTTTGAAACTTACATCTCGAAATTGTACAAGGCCAAGTTCGCCAAGTTCCGAGACACAGGCATATGCTGCTTCGCTTTGCAAAAAGAGTTGACACAAGGTCATCTCCTCGCTTCGAAAAAGCGATCCCATATCTGATTCGCTAAGGTTTACTTATCCTTGTGTTCAAATAACTGAAATTTTACAGAAAACGAGCTCGTTCGAGCGAATGGAAGGAAACGAGAACCGTTAGGCACGATTTCCTCTTGCTGACTGTTCAGTGGTCGCCAACAGTCGCCAATCTTCTGGGTCGTGTATAAATGTAATAATCAATGAGTAAGGCAGCTAGTCACGAGGTGAGACGACCATAAACCACAAGTTGATGGTGTGTTGATATTCACATTTTTTGTTAACGCCCAAAAACAACACTAGCGACAACAGAATTTCAACACTGGAACTACCAAGCGAGTTAACTTTACTCATACATATCGAATATCCATTGACTGTCGGTAGTTTAAGCGTTAATACATACCATTTACACAGTAGGAAAGAAGAACAACACAAATTCATTTGATATATTTTAGATACCTTCACCTTCTACTTCGCAGATGTCACTGCAGCTTTATTCCAGGTACAAGATGTCGAGTCTATTTTGACTGTAGCTACATTTAGTGGCAGTTGGTGGATCTTCAGTCACGTTTGTGTGTCATATGATCAATTTGTGAATTAGTATTGAATTCTTTTGGGAGTGTCTGAATTTTACAGTTCTGCTTTTTAAAATAACAATGTTGAAACTATTTTTCTGCCTCCTGACTGTATTCGTTGCAGGTACGTGTCCTATTTAAGTTTCGAAATGATACTGCAATGTATTTTAAAAATTATTCTGTTAATTAAGCTGATCGACGATTAGTAATGATATAAAATATTATACTGCTTTTCTTGATTATTATAGTGAAAGCAAGTGGAGATTTCGTAGTTCTACATAGTCCAAACAGTGTTTTATTTAACGGAAATGAAGAAGTAGAGCAGAGTTTGCTTAAAGAAGTGCTAGCTGCTGCTTTAGGTTTCACTGTTAAACAGGTTCGTTTTTTAACATTCCATTTTTTAACAAAATCGATTATGATGAATTACATTTTGGTGTATGATGGTTGATTCTATTTTATTATTATAGAGAGGAACATGGAGCGGCATCTCCATTGCCGATCCATTTAATCTTCCAGAAGCTGTAGTCGTGGTAGCAATAGAAGGTGTAGGATCTTTAGATATACCAAAGGGTAAAAGGTTTCCATTAAATGTTAATGAAGTTGAAGAAACCACGTGGCAGGCTCTTAGAGAACGCCTAGAAGAAAGAGATAACGATAATACTCTAGTCAGAATATCTTTAGGAGATGGTCTTGATGCTGTAAGTATCATAATAAAATAATAAAATTTTAAATATATTAAAACTGCTAAAGTATTCACATTGTAGAATTAAATTAATTTTGATATAATATTAATTCAGTTAGGACAGTCTGCTCTCGGAGAATTGAAGCCAACTCCTATCGATGAAACATCTCTGAAAGCTTTGAATTTAGGAAAGGAAGATGATAAGAAGTTTCTGGAAGAAGTGCAATTGCTCCATGCCATTGCTAAAAAAGCACCTTCTGCAATTAAATCAGATTTGAAATCTGATATTTACTGGCTGGTTATATCCGGTTTGCGTCCTATTTTTGACGACTATGGATTCAATTCAACCGCTTCTAGGGAAGCTCAAACATTGTTTAATAACGCGCTAACCGTTATTCACGATGCATTTGTTCAGGCCTATGATGGACAGGTATGCTCGTTTATGAACAATGAAATGTTTAGTATGTATCGCGTTGTTAATATTGTTTAATGTACAGCGTTAAAAATGTTTCGATTTAGGTATTAATTGTGGCATTCACGAACGATGCGAGTAAGGTACATCACATCCGCTCTGTCACTTTAGGAAGACAAAAACGAGATACTGCTGATACGGTTCGTATTTGAAACTTTATATTATTTTACATTTGACAGATTTTTATTTCTGACCGCTAATCTATTTTTTTGTATACATTTACCATTTATAGAACATTAAAATTCAAATGCGTAAAGCACAGTAAACTCCTGCTTAAATATTATATGCATATTGCAACCAGGAGTCTATTGTTTAGTATCATTATATAGGAAAATTAAATAGAACGTTAGCGTAATTTAATATAAACTGAATAACAATCTTATGAGAAACTGTGAATTATGCTTTAGTTTCTGTAACATGTATTTTATGTTTATCTTTGAGGAAGCTGCAGATAAAGGTTCGTTTATCAAAAATTGATTCTGTTCCGTAATTGTTGAAATATATGAAAAAAACCATTGATGCCAAGCATTGATTACGTTCGCTTTTAATTTGCATAGACAACAGTTATATTCGCATCGTGCGTGCGCTAAAAATTAAACTATGTCTAATACTGATATCTTTTATAGGATGATAAAACTAAAAGTGTAGATCCTACTTCGGAACTTAAAGAGCAGCACAATGATATAAATTTTAATAATAATGATAATATTGCAATTACGGTATGTTAATACTATTGCATGGACAAGTGTTTTTTATTGACAGTGGGCAAATATTTTTGAATTAGAGATAGCTTCTTGCATGATTTCTAAACATGTTAATAAATTACGCAATATAATATCTATGACTCAGTACTTCGATACTTTCTTTTCGTTTCGCGAATTACTTATTTAAGAGTTATATACAACATAAACATTTTATTTTATTACAAATCATATGGGAACATAAGTTTAGGATTATTATGGAACAGCACATTTTAACTCTTTGTACTCCAGGTACAGAGTATATTATTTTCACATTACGAAATCCTGCAGTTAACATGTGCAGCATAAAGCAAAAATAAGTTGAGGTTACTGGTTGACTAAAAAATCGGAGCACAAAGGGTTAAACTTCAAGCTTTCGATATTTCCTTTTGCACCGCTTCAAAACATTTTTCCGTAATACAATAATCGTAAACATGGAAACAAGAAATCGAATATAATCGAAACATTCGTTATTTTTAAACCTTGGATTAAAAAATATATTAAATTTTCACAGTAGTCGTCGTAATAATGTACGTGTTAAGGTAACACAAATTAAGTACGACATGAAAATCAAGAATAATACGTAAACATGATTACAAGCTGTTTTATTGAACACCCTGCATATGTAACTTCACATTTAACATGATTACGTTACATTCATCATTAACAATTATATTTCTTACACAATACAAAATGGACAACTACTGTGACCGAATTGGATTTGGATTATTCCGAGTTTTTCAACATAAAGGTTGACTCTTATCAGCGTTCAAGGGATACAACATTCAAATGACACTTATGTTCATTATAACATGAACAACAATGATTTTTAATCTTTCGTAATCACGTCCCTTGAGCGCTAGTGGGGCTCGACTTTAAGTCGTTTACATAAATACATATACTTATAGCAAAGTGATCATCAAGATGAAAACAAAAGTGTAGAAGACGAAGAGGATTCAAACACAAATATTGATAGTGCTAGCAAATTCGACAGTGATACGGACACTTCTACCACAAGTAGTGATTTTCGTGATGATAGTGGAGTCACTGAAACTGATCAGGATTTGACTAATATGGAGCATAACATAAATTCTAATGCACAAAGTATAAGACAGGTATCACTAACACTTTAACATGCATTTTAGAATTTTCTTTTGCATTTTATATGGAAGTTTTGACATATATTTTTCAATCAGGGTACACTTACTATCGAAATTATCGATGTACCCCCCATTCGTTTTTGTAGAGTATTCTAATTAAAATAAAAAATAATATTTTTTAGTTTTTATACATCATTAGTATACAAATTCCTAAGTATTTTCTTACATCTATGAGATTTTAGATAAGCTTTTGTTGAATTAGTCACAATATTAGCACCCATTATACAGGATGTCCAACAAATGTATGTATAGACTCGTGTAACTGTGTTGTGGATGCTTAACAAATTTGTTTACATATTTTTTGGACATTCTGTGTATATACACATACAGGATGAATTCCTTAAAAATAGAATTGCAAATATCTCTGGTAGTTCTCGCTAAGTATCGCAAAAAATAATAGAGACACTTGCAATTCTAGTTTTAGATTAATCAGTCTGTACATTAGGTGTATAAAGTTTGCTTATAACACAGTGCTTCTTAGTATCACTTTTGGAAAGTAGCTTCCTTGTTATGCTGGAAATTCGCAATGCATGAGATATGTGATACTGTGTATTATTCAATGGAGTGTATGATATATTTATACGAGAAAAGTATAATACGAAGATTTGTTAAAAAAAACACAAGAAGTACCATTAACAGAAAATAATTATAAATTATGTTAAGGTCGATAACTCAAACACGGAATACATATCAGGATTTTAAGTTTTATCATTATATCATGCTACATTTCATGTGTTAACGTTTGGTTTGAACGTAAAGTTTCTACCTTTAGTCGAGCATCGACTATAGCCAATGGCCCCCGAGAATCCAGTTATGGCTCAGCGTCGACTACAGTCGGTGGCCGTGTCGACTCTTGAATTTTAAACACTATGTATGCTTGTTTGCTAGCTTTTGTTTTATTTAAGTTAGAGACTTCTCTTCTTAGCTAATACGAACTTTGACACAATTTAAGAATTCTGAGAACGATATAGTAGTAACCGCTTTCGAGACCAAATTTCTACCTCGGATTCAAGGCATGATGGAGACACGTTCGTCATTGTTGTCGAGCATCGAATTTCATTCTCTAATGATATTTTATTAGGCAAAAGCATTAAAAAGTATATTTGTACCTTTTACGCATAGTATGGCAGCTGGAATAAAGAGTATCATTTATCAAAAGACTTAACCTGTAGACTGGCTACTTTCACGATTATAAATGCTTATGTACCACTCTGTATTAAGGAGGTTTGTATACGTTCGAGTTGGTGGTTGCAGTGGTAACAAAAAATAGAAGATGTTTACACGTGCAAACGATAAGTTAACTCGTCTCTTCCAGTTGACAGGTTAATTCCAGAAAGCTTTTGAGTTTTAGGCATTAAAAAATTTAGAACACATCTAATAAAAATATCGAGTACTAGAACAGCGTAGCTCTAATGCTACAGCTGGTCGTAAATAGTTTAAAACATTAAGTTTTGTTTGTTTCAGGAAGTCTATAATCTTGCGAAAGTTTACTCGGAAAATTATCCCGTCATCTTTAACATAATATTATGGTTTGGAGTTGCTTTTGTTTTCTCGCTCCTCGCTATTTGCAGTACGTAATAATTTTGATATTTAATCGAATAATTTATACGATATTTTGTTCTAATTTCGATTTGTTACGAATGCAGTCGCCATTGGCCAAATGGACCCCGGACGTGATTCCGTAATATACAGAATGACCTCCAATCGCATGAAGAAGGATAATTAAATGTAAATATGAGTTAACAGTGTTCAAATTAAACAATTTGTGTTATATATGGTGTACTTAAACTGTCAAATTTACTTCATAAATATGCACAATTCCATCTCAATTCCACTTTTTAAGGTTCCAACAAAATTGTTCGTCGGTAATATAATAGTTATTGTAATATATTTATATACACATTAGTTGTATCTCATATAATTCAGTCAGCCGTATAGTATTTTTTATTATTGTATATTTTGAAGAATTATCGAATAGATGCATCCTTCCTATGTATAAATGTATAATAGACTAAGTTCTTTAAACTACTATACCTATTAATAAAACATGTTTAAGTGTACAGTTATGCAATAAATTAATAAAGGCTAAACGTTATAGCGATTCAATTTCTCATGAATATGTTAATATTCGTTTTAATAATTAATCAACGAAGAAAAAAACATTGTTTCGTTTTTTCGTCAAGACCTAGTAGAAGCCATTGTCAGCCATTCTTTCATCAATACGTTGCGATAGTTGTCCAATTTTTGTCCATGTTTTTTATGAAATAATTACCTGTTCTCGATAATACGTTTTGTAGCCAGGGGCTCGATATTTTACAATTACATACAAACGAAGGACGTATAATGTCCGATCGAAACTGGTTTGGCGTGAAAGGACGCGTCTCGGTACACATATGCAGCATTCATTTCGATAAAAAGAAAACTGTAATTCGAGGACCTTCGTTCGTCAAAAAATCTTTCATGGGGAAACGTAAGTTGAATGTGATCCTCGTCAAAGAACAACGCATGGTTAATAAGAAACGAAGGACCTTGACTAACTTATGACTTCTTCGCGTTATATCCTACCTGTAAAACAAAGTAGAATCTTGATTATCCGAATACGTATCATTCAAGGATCCACTTTGTAGGAATTTTATGGAATTTTACTGAAATTCTCTATATAATAGGTAATTCATCCATAACCTCAAAGCTAATTTGGGCTAATTTTCATCCCTCCGACACGAGTAGCAGATAATAGAAAGAAAATGTGTAGTACTTTCTAGTAATTTTTTATTTTCACTGTTCTACTTGTGTGCAACATTTCTTCAAAAATGGCGCGTAACAGTTGGCTGAGTTCATTGTTAGAGGATACGAAGTTTTATATTTTCGAATCTTGAGTTCAGTTTTATATTCAAGCATGGTACGAGTGAAATTTCACGATTCAATCATCTTCCATAGACTTTTCGAGCACTTAGGAAACGGACAGCCGTACGAAGAAGACGAGTATGACCAAGTATGACAAGCTGGGACACGCATTAACTAGGTGAGTTGTACAGGCTATGACATTCCAAATTTTAATTGAATTAATTAAGCGTATGGAAGGCATCGTTAACTGGTAACCTCCAAGTTCGTTTGACTTTACAGCGATGTCTCTTTCTATAATTGACGAAAGTAAATTGTATTTTAGATTACCGTAAATTGTAGTTTTATATTGAGGTGAAGTTGGCAATAATTTAGCGCCAGTGTGACTGGCAATACTGATTGATACTGATGTACGTTTCTGTTTTGTATGCTGTGTGTATTTATGAATGCAGGCGTTTGAAGCATGATAAATACAGTTTACTTGAGAAAAGAACGAAAAATAAAGGATGCATCGTAGAACCTACGTTCGGGTGAGAGAATTTTCATATAATAAAACAAGTAGTCAACCCTCAATTTTACTTAATCCTTAAGTCAAAAGAAAAGGAAATGACTACAATTTGTTAGTACTAACAATAAGTTCCTTAATTATATCACAGTGTTGTTAACAGTTCCTGTTTTAGGGACATTATGATACGCTATTAGACATGCTACGTGTAATATTAAATCAATGCAAATAGATTCCATTCCATAGAAGGAAATATGTACGTACTTGCATGTTTGTGTACATACAGTATATAGTATTGATACAGTATTGAACATTTCTGTTACAAATGTTTATCAAGGGTACACAACGGATCCTATAATCTATTTTCTGTTCAGTCAGATCGCGTTTTATTTTCTTTGCAACAATTCAGGCTCATTAGTTCACTCTTTTCGAGGGTCAGGTGTAAATCGCAACCGCAAATCACGTGAGCAAACATGCAAGATGAGAAGCTGAGAGTCGTCCATCGCTATAAGCGGTTGTTTTTCATGAAACGTACACGTGATTAGCGAAACGTATGACGCAGGTACACAAGCACCGAGAACTCTTTGTAGAAATCGAATAAACCGAGTCTCGTAACCCTAGATCTTACAACGATTTATCATGTATCAAGCCGGCTAATAAAGTCGCCATTTGCCATCGCAGGGTTGGCGCTAGGATGATTAACTAGCTAAGGTGATAACTTCTAATTTAGACGTCCCCTTCTAATTCGAAGATCGGATTATTTAAATTCTAAAGAAACGTAATTAACCCTTCGTTATGGCAACTCGTGTGCCAAATCGCCCTATCAGCTAACGCCACTACGCGAGTAGCTAGTGTGACAACTTCTAATTCGAAGATCGGATTATTTAAATTCTAAAGAAACGTAATTAACACTTCGTTATGGCAACTCGTGTGCCAAATCGCCCTATCAGCTAGCGCCACTACGCGAGTAGCTAGTGTGATAACTTCTAATTCGAAGATCGGATTATTTAAATTCTAAAGAAACGTAAGATAAATTGACCCTTCGTTATGGCAACTCGTGTGCCAAATCGTCTATCAGCTAGCGCCACTACGCGAGTGCTCAATGTCAAGGTTGCCGTGGCCTTTGAGCAGTTGCGCCAACAAAGTCCTCGCGACGTCTGCGTCCCTCCCAACATGATTAGCTCTCGGTTACGATTCTCGATCATAGTGCCGGGCAATACCGCGGTATGGTCAGTAGATATCGAGAAGTCGCTCCTTGTCGATAGGATGAATTATTTGAAACATTTTCCTCGTCGCTGGTTACGTCCAAAGTGACGATGCACTTGTTTCATTGGTTCAAAGACGCGTTCAGGTTTACCTAGGGTGGGAGTTTTATAGTCTCTCGATTTCTGTTTCGGCCAGTAGCGTAATTTCGGTCGAAATTTGTGCACGTGTTCGTTCCAGCTGTGGACGTTTTAAAATGGTGGATTCGAGGCGGTGTAATCCTTTCACGGTACAGAAACGCGACGAACTGTTGGAACGGTATTAAACGTGCTACGGAAACAATGCAAACGCGGTACCCAAAGCTTGAGGTGGGTGAGTACGTTTACAGTAGTAGCTGGTTAAAAAGCATTCGTCGATAGAAGAAATAAACGAAATGTGTGTTATCTAAACGAGCGTGTTTAAACGGTAAGGCGTGGACAAATCGTTTTTTGGAAGAACGTTTCCATCGAAATTATTCAATATACCAGAGCTGCATACCTCACGTTCCTCGTGTATAAGTAACTATTGTCAATGTCAAACCATCGCCTATTCAATTTCGAGTCCAGCTCAGTCTGCGATAACTTATCTCAGGTGCTTCACTTTTGTTATCAGTCATTTAAATTGTTCGCTTGGTTGACAATGGTATGCCGCGCAGATTGCATTTGGCGCTCGTCGACATTTTACTTTATTGCTGTTGCGTTCGATTAGCCTTCCGTCTTAAGCAACATCATCGTCGATATTATGTCGCGACCATGATACGATTTGAATTATTTAAAAGATATACATTTATTTCCAATGAGTCTCGCTTGGTGTAATCGTTTCAGGAATGATTTTCTTGGCGTAAAGTTAAAACGGTCGAATTCCTCGTGGCACGGCGAATTCTCTCGAGTATGTGTGTCGGTACACGACAACTCGTCATTGGACTATTACATTCAATTAGGTAGTGCTTCATATGCATGTAGCATCTTGTGACCGTTCAAAGTGCTTTCTCGTGACGAATGCTTAGATTAAAAGATCGCGATGGTCACAAGGTTGTAAGTACCGCAGGAGAGAGGTTGCATGAAAGGATCATTTTACTTCGTTTAACTAAAAGTAATGCCCATAATTTGTCGTTCAGAGTTCGCTATTAAACGATAACTCGTCGATGATAAAGTTTCCAGAGGATAATAAATTAAATAAAGGACTGTAGAAATTTATTACCTGACACGGAGTGTAAGCATTCTTGGTAGGTTCGTAGGTAGACGAGCAAATTCAAACCTATAGATAACGCTAGTGGAGGGTTATTCTCTTAATATCCGTTCCCACAGGTTCATTAAGCAATTGACATCTATATAAGAGTCATTTTCAAATGTGCATAATCGCGTCGGAGGCAATAGGTTGATGGATCAGCCTTACTTGTAAATCAGCCATGTGTCTAGAAAGAAACGTTACTTCTAAACGAATACTTACTTGTCGCAATCCCTGAAGGGGTCAACTCGATAATAGAGCGACGAGTTGACCCTGTACGTAGCGTCGTTTGACTTATTTTATCAGCCATTCATCGAATTAATCGATACTTATACTTTGCTTATATCATTTCTCGAAGAGGACTTGGAATCAATCGATAAAATTTCCATTGATTTTACAATGGGGCTAGTAGAAGAAATGAAAATACAGCGATTGAGTAACACTCGCGTAAGACGTGAGAAATGTTGGCTGGCAAATCAGACACCATAGGAAGCAATTCGTAATTTATGCGTATAATCTGACGGACTTGGCATATACGTAGCACGCGGAAGAAGGAAGAAAAGAATAGCCCCGTCGAAAGGTCTGTCTACTTGGGATCGTCGTTATAACTGATCGGAATAATAAGTAACCGTAGATTACGAAGGCAACACGTATAATACGTTAGGATACTTTTATGCAAGTCGCTGAAATGATAATCTTACACCTCGAAAACAGCTTCCGGTCTCTCCATTGTTTCATATTGATTACTAATTGCCAGACACGAATTAACAACGAGTACCATATTTTTTCGTTAATTGCGTCGGAAAATGTATACATTGATCAAAGAACGATAAAAGAGAAAGTGAACGGGCTGTCGCAAGTTTCGTTGTAGCAAGGTCTGGGTTAGATTGTTTAATACAGATTGACAAAGAATACAATCTCTTCCTCCTAATTATGATATAAAATGAGTTCTGTGATTGTTCGAAAGCGAGATGAAGGAGAAAGTAGAACCACCTGCGATAAAATTCAATTTCCAAGAGCATTCGTGTAATTGGTTCCAAGTTTGGAACGTTAAATAATGTAGAAAAGTAAACGTACGTTTCGTGTAATTTTTGGCAATGATGTCTCAACGAAATACTTGCCTTATACAGGCCTAGAGTTTCAGCAACTCTGACTGCAGAGCAAGTGAAATTATTAATGACAGCATTATCGACAAGCTAACGGCCATCAAAATTATTACAATTAATCATTTTTCATTCGTGTTCGATGTTTACTATTAACATCCGTGATTACGAAATTTGACGAGTGGCACGTAACGACGGTAAAAGCCTATGACGATGGAAGTCGACAAAGATGTCTTCGTTAACGACTTCATTAACTTTCACATAGTTACGCGATAATTAAGCTTAGATACGAAAAGTGTTGAAAGCACACTTTAGACCTACGATAATTACAATAATATTAATAACAACGACAATCAAGTATAATAAAAATATCAACGGTACGACACTTGCTCGCGAACGTGACTCGAATTATGGAGAATTCGTGAATCGACTGCCAATAAGTCTGACCTCGACAGGAACGCGACAAAAACATATTTTCAGGTATGTCGTAAATTTAATCGTCAATATTGACAGCCCGATTTTAACAAAAATGGTTACATCGAAAACAAAAAAAGCATGGTTTTTACATATTTACACGATGCTTTACGACGAACAGTTTGCATAGATTTCGGAGACGTTGTTTCGAGGTTGTAGTGTCGTTGAACTCGCCTTGAATTCGATAAAGTTATGGATACATGGTATCGTTTAAAAAATAAAACTTCGTACACGCTAACAGCGGTATGCGTATTATACGCGATACAATGTTATCAGTTACAGAACTAAAAGAAGAAAATAATCGCAAGGTAACTTATACCGGCTAATGAAATACCCGCATATTTGCGAGATACGTTACGTTTTACAAATTTGTACGAATATTGCTTCATGGGACGCCTTGATATCTATGAAAAAAAAAAAAAAAGATTTAGATGAGGAAAACACTACCGTAAACGACTGAAAAATTGCTACCTTTTTTTTTTTTTATTAGAAATAGTTACAAACGAAATCTTGGTAGGTTTAGCGTTCATTTTGTTATATCGAACAGTACTCGATGGCTCAATTCCTCGTGTACATATAAATCATCAGCCAAAATCTCCACCATCGTCGAGACGGTGGAGTAACGACTATCGTTGGTTACGTATGGCGGAAAATTCCCGCGGTATAACAGATAAAAATGAATTCCAAGTTATTCGAATAATGCCCGACTCTGCATTTCCTTCAGACGTGTTTGCGGCAATTAACGCATGCTCGATGTCTAATTCCATGGAAGAACGTATACGTTCGAAAGGTATACAGGGATTCTAATGGCCTCCCTGTTTGATACGCCAGCCGTTATTCGAACACGACAAGTGTCCTAAAAGATTTAGCAATAGCGTTGCGATAATAGCAATGTGGCTCATCGCGTAAATCATAGAGATCTCCAGCATTGATATACATATGTTAATGCACAAGGATAGTATTACGCATCGTCGACTGGCATAGAAGAAACAGCCTCATCCCAGTTAATGCAATGTAATCTCTAAACGTAACGTTATAACGTCTCGACGCATTAAGATACAGTCGGTCACCTTTGTATGACGTCAATTGTACGCATAACATCTAACGATGAAAATCACCCGGAACATGTTCTTCGGCTGTTTTGCCAATTACTGTACAATAGCTGTTACTCAAGCCTACGTGCTTCCTTTCGTGCACACAGAAGGTGTCTCGACGTTGCAAACAAAAAATCGTAAGCTGCGTTAAAACTTTAAGCGATCTGAAACGAACGTTACTTAATTTTGTCCTTCGATCGTTATGCATGGGACATAAACTACTTACGCGGTAAAATCTTCCATACGTATTGCGTTTCGAAGATCGCAGTCGTCGTTATAAGAAGCTTACGATGTGGATCGTCAAAAGTGATTCATCGGTTACTTGGCAAATGATCGCGATACATCAAGAAATTTAGCTTAGGAAAGGAAGCGATGATCTTTATCGATTAATTTCAGATCCTCCTGATCGATAAATCTAGCCATAAAACCACCGATGGGCTCACGGATGGACCTAACTCGTTGAGAACGAGATGTAAATTCGTAGAACCTTGAAGGTGTTTCCAGTTGAATTTTTAGAGTCAAGGAAGTTCAAAGAAAACGCCGATTCATTTCGAGACAAATTTTACTAGCTATAAACGCCATCTGTCACCGGCTATAAATACAATGTGACGTGCAGTGGTGTTCGTCCACGTGCAGAATCGATTGACTTTAAAAGTTTCGCACCATCGCGAATACTTAAGTTATCGAAGGTATGCTTAACAGCTTTCATATTCTAAGCAGCGTTTGCAACGGAAACGAAAATGGATTTCGCAAGAGGTTGAATTCAAAGGGCAAGAAATTTCGTAACAGTAAACGAAAATCTAGAAAAGATTCCACTTGTTACTCGGGGAAATTAGAACGAATAACATGCGTTCCGATTATGCGTTTGTCAACAATTCAGGTAAACATAAATCGATATATTCCTTGACGTACGCGCGATCTCCTCGTTGATCACATCTGGAGATGATGCAATTTCGTTACAATGCACTACTGATTGTATTATCAACGAACCTATTTGTTCAGATCTGCGAGCATCTAAATTAAGCGTGGAAACTTCTCAATTATCGTCGACTTCGTCAAATGTAATAGTTTCCGTATCCGACTATTCTTTTGTCACATCCGGAATACTCTAATTGTATGGATTGTCAAAAAAAAAAAATTATCTTCCGTCGAAATGATAAGTATCGCAATTGTTCAGGAAACGTGGAAAACGTTTATCATAGCTTTATCTATTCGCTATGCGTACAACGTTTATTACTTTTTCGTGTTTTAGCATCGAGATAAAGATTTTCAGGGGACAACGTGAACGTACCTTGCAAAAACTTTCCACGATAAATTTAAACAAAAGCAGGGGTCTAGAAGCATTATTTTAATACGAACATTCGACTGCACCCTTGTCTAGGTAACTATTCGAGTAGACATGTTTCGAGTGAAAGTTCATTAGAATGATGCAGCTCGATCATCTCTGGTATGTCTGTTAAGTCAACGACTAACTACCCAGACTTCCGTACGTGTTCGTCAAACGTAAATTTGTATATTCTAGTAGGTTGCAACTCGCTCGTTTACTCGATATTTGGAATTCGAGTCGGTTGGTATGCGAGCGCTCGGTTTAATCGCCCAAGGCTTTACAATTAAGTATGTTATAGATAAATACGGTTGCAAAACACGGAGCTTTAAGACTTTCTGTGCTGGAAGGAGTTCAATGATGACCGTTAACCTCGATGGTTTCCGGGTTACTGACAATACGCAAACGTCACAAACTATGCGTCCAAGTTCTTGCAAGATAAGAACACCGTTAGACGCGATACACACTTGCAAGTTGGTTACTCTGTGTTTTGAAAACGGACGTTTATTTTCGAGAAAGCGGGTTAGTGGTATTACATTTTATTTTCGACGATTATTTCTGTCGGTTGATAAGCCAGAAATGCTTAATCCGAGGTTTTGATCAAATTTTAACGTTTCGGCGACGGGCGAAGCGTGTCTTAATATAGATTTTACTTAGGCAAGATAACCATGTTTTGCAAGAAATATCATAAAATTATAAGATATTAAAATTACTCGGTTGCTAATTGTTGCAATGCATCTCTTCCAGAGGCGAAGGACAATTTATTCGATAATTTTGTACAAAACAATACGATTGAAAAGTACCCTTTTCGTACGTTTATTTTAAGAAGCCTTATCGTCAATGGATAATTGTAATCGTATTTGGATAACGTCTTTGCGAACCATGTATCGCGAAAATTAACGTTGTCTTCTTTCATTCTCGAGTGCCGGTCGTTAATTAAACGAGTAATCTGAACGTGACGATGCTTGGCGGAAATAATTCGGATCTAACGTGGAATAGCGCGTGAAAATAGATGGGGAATGTAAACACGCGTAAAAACGCCCTGTACGAGGCACGACGCGATTAATTAAATTCCCGATTTAGGAATTTTCCCTTGCATGTTAAATATTTACTTGCATCGAATGGTTTTACGCCAATACAATGGAGAGACGTGTCAAGATTGCGTAAATAATGGAGAAAATATGTGGCCGACGCCGACGATTATCA